CTTAACATTTCCATGACTTTTTTTATAACTGGTAAGTTGTACATCTTAATCTTTCCTCTTTTTAACCCATCACCCAACCCCTTCCCTTGTGGCAACCATCAGTTTGTTCTTTAAATCTAAGAGTTTATTCCTGTTTTGCCAAATCTCTTTTTATAAGGACACCAGTCAGATTAGGTGCCCAGACTATTTCAGTATGACCTCATCATAAGTAATTACATCTGCAACAACTCTATTTCTAAATAAGGTCACATTCTCAGGTACTGGGGAGTGGAGCTTCAACACATAACTGTAGGGGGACACAATTCAACCTATAACATAGCCCTATCTCTCTCTTGAAACATCTGGTTCTATTTCTCTACCTGTGTATTGTATTTTCTTGTCTCTCCTCACTGAATGTCATTGTTTATATTGTCTGATTTTTCTGCAAAAGCCATGCTATGCTTTTGTACGAGGAAAAAAAAGCTTTCCAGAAAAAAACAAACCTCCTCCTTTGCATTGTGACTTGTTTGTCCGTCATCTCCCATTCTAGACTTGGCGCTCCATGAGACCAGGTACCACATCTAATACCATGCATGGCATATCATCGATGCTCCATACATGCTGGCCGAGTTGAAATTAAATAGATGTATAAATTAATTTCCCCACAAGAGCTCAAGCAAAGCAATTGTTCTTGCAACCTTTCTGATATACATGTGACACATTTTCTCACAAATCTGAAAATCTTAAAAAAAAAAAAGTGCTAACACTCTAGGTTTTAAATGACTTCGGCATATATAGTGACACTATCCTACTATACTGATATTTAAGGTGTTATCAAGAGTTAAAATACAGCCAAAATCCAGTATGAAGCATCATTGTCAAATCTAGGAGGAAATTAAACCAGCAGGGCCATCACCCAACCCCTGTGAACCAAACTGCCACATTTCACATGACTCTTCTAATTAGTTAGTGTTTGCAAAAGCTTTAGAAGCATACAAGTGTTACATTAGGTGCTAAGTGGTATTAATTAATAATATTGGTAGATTACATGAACTGGTACTTACTATAAATGCAAATGTCCTAGGCTTAGCAGCACATTTAGCCATACCTCGAAATTTTCTTTATAGAATTTTATAAAGCTTCTGGCTTCCAAAGAAAATCACTTTATATAATCTTTGCATTTTTCTAACTGGACAAAACTTTTGAAATCATCTAATACAATAGTTCTCAATGCTATCGGACCCAACACCTCTTTTTTTGTAATAAGTGTTTTTGTTACACCCCTCTTTAATGTTTGAAGCAAAATTCATGGGTAATCTACCTATATATAGCATATTTTAGTATGTAAACACTCTGTATATAGTAATCTACCTGTATATAGCATATTTTAGTATGTAAACACTCAGGCATGTCCAAATGAAGTTGTCAGACACATGCACTATATGGAGAAATACTGCAAATGGGCCAGTTCCAAACAGCAGGCTGCTACAGCGTGCTGCGTGGGAGATGCAGCAGCACGGCAGCATTGCTGTGGGGGCCTTGGTTTTCTGAAAGTGTGAAGAAGTCCTCTTAAGTTCCAAACTAAGGAATTTCCAGTCTTCCTTCAATTTATTCTATAGTGGCATATCTGGAAATTTCAATGTACCTCTATATTAAAATCCTCCCTAAAAAATCCCGTGTGTTTATATGATAAACAGAGTTAGGATTTAGGTTCAGATCATCGCAACCAGAATTTTCGTCTACAAGAATGTCTGATGAGATACATTCCCACACATTCAGCATCTCCGGAGCCCTTCCACCAAATACCAGGGACACTCCCTCCCTCCTCAATCTTTGAGACCCCCCCCAAAAAAAATGCTCAAAACATTTTCATTTCATTGGAGAGCAAGGCTCCAAAACCTTCCAAAGCACTGCCCCTCTTGAGAGTCATAGATCTAATTTTACATCCTTGTGCAAAACAATGAGGCTATTGTGTCCCCAGAGAATATGCCCAAGGATCACAGACAAAGTCTTGGCCAAACCAGGTGAAAAATACTTAGAGTTTGGACAGATTAGCATGTTCCATGTGCCACACGTTGTCTTAAGCTTGGTTCAGATATACTCTAATCTTTACTACTCAGACTTTATTAGCCCCACTATATAGTTGAAACCGAACTACAGGGAAGTGAAGTGACTTACACAAGGTCCCAGAGAAGTAAATGGCAGTGTCCTGACTCAGACCATTCTCTTCAGAACAACTATGCAACACAGTGCAAACTACAGACCGTCATTTAGCGCTGGAGAGGACACCAAGGGAAAAGCAACCTTCCTGCGCATGAGTACACAGGATAGACCGGTTCTCCCAGTGCAGTGCATGGACCTCCAATCCTGTCCCTAGGTCATGGTTTGTTTCCCACCTGGTCTCATCTTCTTTTTTCTTGTGTTTTTCCTACAGACATTCATGCCCAGGAGAAGGCCACTTTGGGTCCCTCTGGACTTTTCCTAAAAGGGAGATCCCCGTGCACTAGATGAGTTCCAGAAGCATCCATTAAGGCTTCCATAGCCCTATTCCATCAGTTGACCTTCACTGTAACCCCTACCACTCAGGATGAGTGGCTTCCTCGCCTCCCTGGACCCCCGGCGGGTGCAGTGGGGAGCCGCCTGGTATGCTATGCACTCCAGAATCCTGCGTACCAAACCAGTAGAGTCCATGCTGGAGGGAACAGGGGCTACCACGGCACACGGCACCAAGCTGGCCCAGGTGCTCACCACTGTGGACCTGATCTCCCTTGGTGTTGGCAGCTGCGTGGGCACCGGGATGTACGTGGTATCTGGCTTGGTGGCCAAGGAAATGGCAGGACCTGGTGTCATTGTGTCCTTCATCATTGCAGCTGTTGCATCCATATTATCAGGTAAGTGTCTCGGAGCAGCAGAAGGCCTGCGGAAAGCGTGCTTGCCAGGCTGTTCGTCCTACAATTCTAGAGTACTTAGTGGTGAGATGTGTGAAGTGGCAGAAGACAGGTCATCCTGCTTCCTTTGTGCTTTGACTGCCAGGGAGTTCAGGGTTACGTTTTGGCTCAACTGTAGTAGCTTCCCTTTTCGCTGGTTTTTTGATACAAATAATTGTTCTGGTTCCCAGCCATCTCCGACTTCTCATTCCCCATCATGTCTTAATGGCTCTATTTTTATTATAATTCTCCCTTTCATTGGAAGATAAGTCAATCTTTTTGTGTGGTGAGAGGGAAGAGATAGCCAGGATATAAATAATGAATAAAGACTAGGCAGAGTAGCAAAATGAGAAGTCAGTAAATCTAATATGATTGGTATTTGATGAGCCTCAAATTGGCACTGTGACTCTCAAAAGGAAGAAACCAAGATGAGAAATGTAAAGCCACTGCGAGACTCACATAGCAACATCTGCCACAGAACTTCAACAGACTGATATTCTACAGAGGTAGCTAAATTAGCACCTTCTCTTTTCTTCAGAAAGAATCCTTTAAAAAAATCATTTTTTTTTTTTAAATTAAGTACCAGGACCTAAACATTTATCATCTGTGAAACAGCTTTCCTATTTCCTTTGCTTTTCCCTCCTCTTCAGTTGTGATCTATGGTACCTTCCCAGAATGCCAGAGATAGGTTAAAGAACAATTTGAAAAAGAAGGAAAAAGAAAATTTTCTGTTTTTTGGTGGTTATAATGCAAAAGCATCAGGCAGATCATGTGGTTCAATCCATGAGCGGGAGAACGTCATGATCTTTTCAAATGTTTCGTAAGAAGTAAGAATGCTAACTTATGTGGGAAGGTCTGTGTACTAATACATGCCATCACAAGAAAAGTTCTGCATTAATATTGCATATCTAGACTAAATAGTCTTCACTCATGTGGGATGCACAGACTAGGAATGTGTGACCAGAAAGTACATTGGTTTACATTTGACATTTTTGCAATTTGATGAGAAAAATATTTCCAGACTGATTTTATTTATCTCCTGTCATGGCTTATTTCCTTGTTGGTTTTACCATCTCCTTTTTCTGAAGCCATTCTCTATTATGCATGAATATCCTAATAATTGAAGTTGCTACAGAACAGAGGATATTTTTTCCTTATAGATTAAAATAAATTATTCACCTGGATGAATTTCATGGGTATTTGAAATTCTATTAATCTGATTGCAATTATTTTCAAACTTATTTGGCAAAGAAATTATTTGGGAGAAGATGACAGATTTTTACCACAAATTTGTAGATCTTAAAGTGTTATCACATGGAATGGCCCAGTAATGGTAGAACAAAAGGCAGACATGTAACTGGGGAGTCCCTACAGGGGTCACAGAGCCAATGGCTAAGAGTCCTCCTCAGTTAACGCAGATTGCTCAGTCTTCCCCAGATCCGTCCTGTTATGGCCCGTTCCCCAAACCAGAATGATTCCTGAGAACAAATTACCCAAATGTTACCCTTCATGATGTTACGGTACATTTAGAAACCAGAACAAGACCCAGTCTCATACAGCGAGGCTGCCCCCTGTCACAGTGCCCATGAGTGCTGTATAACCTAGGCTTTTCTGCTGCTCAGATGGACCTGAGCTTGGACCAGCCAGCGTTGTACGGGAGCCTGTTCCCACCAGCTGCCAAAGAGCCCCGATTGTGCACACTTCTTCTCAACTTTGCATTCAGTGAGGTTATGTTGTTAACTTGAAATTGGTTATGATGGGAGTGTTTATACCACAGAAATTGGCAAATGCTACAAGCCAGAGTTAGTTTGTTTTCAGAGAGTTGGTTGTTTATGCCACTGAAAGCCACTGTACTGCCCAGTAACTGATGACTTCACCAAGGCACCAGGCACCAAAAGAAAAGACTGCATCTTCCCCAATCAAGGACTCCTCCTCCACGTATGGCTACATCCATAACACTTCTCTATGCTTTATGACTGATTCATCTCCTTGTTGAGGCCAGCCAGAATCCTCCTAGAGCCCCAGCCAAGGTCAAGACCAAAATAGCTTATGCCAAAGTTAGCATATCTATAGCCAGTTTCTTCAACCAGACCTCTTACTCAGTGTCACTCAACTAGGGAAAGTCCCCTCCACTGTCTTCTTTCCACTCCTATATCATCATCTCCCTATTGCCTCTTCCTTGACAACTTCTCCATGTCACAATAATCCAACTCTCTTCAACCCTCAGACTTTTTAATACATGGTCTTTTTCTCTTTCTGGCCTTAACTAAAACTTGGATCAAACTTAAAAACGCTGTTGCCCTGCCACCCAATCCGGGAAGGATGTCATTCCCAGCCTCCTGGCCACTCACGAGATCAGGAGGGTCTGCCTCCCCACGGCCCTTCCAGAGCCCTGTCCTTCCACCATCACATCAAAGCCCTGTCCTTCCACCATCACATCAAAGCTCCACACTGTACTGTGGCCTGCAGAAAGCTACTAAACCTCTCAGCGTTCTCAGTTTTGTTTTCCTTATCTGCAAAATGGGGATAATAATAGTGCTTAACTAATGGTGCTATTATAAAGAGTAAGTATGAAAATATATGCAAAGCTTTTGGCACAATGCCTGTCAGTGACAATCGCCTTCCTGAGGCTCATGTGCCCTGACTCACAATGCATACATACCCTGATGTCTTCACTTTCTCAGTCACTCCCTCTCACAGTCTTTCTCTCCAGCCCAGCTTTTGTCATAATCCCAGGCAATTTGAACGTCCAGGTAGCCTAGCTATAACTGGATATTGTTATGCCCATGGCCCTCGCCTCTACTGGTGCCACATCAGTCACCATACTCATGGTCGCACCCTGCTGTTGTCATCACCCAGAATGGCTTTGTGTCAAGAACCTTAAACTAAAACCCCACTCTCTGACCATAGCTCATTCCTTCACTATACATGATCCTAAACCTTATCAAAAATTCCCCCCTCTCCCTTGACTCCCTGTCCAACACAGCCTCTGAAACTGCCCAGTAAAATCCATCCCATCCATCCCAGAATCTCTGCCTTCTCAGGTCTGCACCTAGGTAAACAAGAGCTCTTGGAAAAGGTCACTCAACCCCACAGAGTTGTGGTCTCCAGCCTCCCTCTGCCGGGCCCATGAGTTCTTTCACTTGCCCTTTGTCAAATCTTCTCAATGAGTTTTCTACACTTTCACTGCTCTCTTCAAGCCCCGCTCCATGCATAGTTCCTAACTTAGAGCAGACAACCTTTATTCCTTGAAGATAACTGCCATGAGCTCCCTAAACATTCCACCACCAAATCCGTATCTAATCATCACCCGCACTTGCCACCTTTCCTCTCATTCCAGAAGGTAAAATGTCCTCACTTTCAGTTCTTTGTTCCCTTAACTCTATCATCGTCTACTCTCAACAGTCCCCCTTTCCAATTGTATCTTCAGCCTCTCCTCGACAGGCTTATTCCCCTAGTCAAGTCTCTCCTATTCTAAAATATAAGTCTTCATAGGCCCACATTCTCTTCTATCAACTTCCAATCTTTCTCCTCTCCTCATTCAAACTCCTCAAGAATTCTCATTGATGGCTCTTAACCTCTGTTTCATTCTTCATCCTGCTACTTTCTGTCTTCTGCCCCCACTATTTAATGAAACTAACCTAAATAAGGTCACCAATGGCATCCTCTTCGCCAAGTCTTATAGATATTTTTTAGAACTTATGTCGCTGGAACTCTTGAAACATTTTATATTCTCTAGTTTATTCTCTTCATAACTCTGATCATTTCTTCTCTGTCTCCTTCATGTCTTCCCTTTCTCTACTTTTTCCTTAAATGTTGGTGTTTCTCACTCTACATTCTCTCTAAGGTAATTATGTTCTCTCTCATGGTTTCAACTGCCATCGTTAACCCCACGTTTATATTGATTCATACCTCAGCCATACACATGTCCTCCAAGCTTCACACTGCCTATCAAACATCTCCATCTGGATGTTCCAAACATAGCTTCATTCAACATATTCCAAAGGTATCCTCTTCCTCCACACCAGGTTCCTCTTTCTATTCATTCTCTCTCCTCTCTCTCTCTCTCTCATCCAGTATCCACATATCAAACATCAGTGAAAGACTCTGATTGGCTTTTCTTAGGTCAGGTGTTCACTTTTATATTGCTAGAATAATAAGATAAACACAGCTAACACCTTTCCTGATAGATGCCTAGCACAGTGTACTAAATCAACTGCCCATTTAAGATTCGTGGTTAAATTTGAAGGTGAGTCCAGTCTCCAGAGTCTGCACTTATCTTCAGGATAAATGTCTGCTTGGTTGCAAGAGTGGAGTAAATAAAACATTGAGATTAACGGGGTTTAGCTTTTTTGAGGCAGAGAGGAAAAAGCAATGAGGTTAGGGGTGTTTTCCAAGGAAACAGTGCGGGACCACACAGTCTAGGCTGAAAGTGAGAACATGAGAGTAGTAGAGATTCATGAGAAGTGGCAAGGTCAATGGAGATAGGTGCTCTCAATAAGTCCAGGAAATTAAAACATTGAAAAAGTGTGCTAGAAGAGTATAAATGAAGTCAAAGAGTGGGATGTTTGAAATTAAGATTTCAGAAGTGGTACAGTAATGAGTAATGTTAATTTTAGATTTGAAAACTGGCTCAGCCACTGACCTGTGAAATCTTAGCAAGTTCCATAAGTTCTCTGAGCCTCACCTTCTCCACTTTGAAAATGGTCATAGTAATAATACTTACTAGAGTTGTGAAGACTAAATGAGATGTCTGTAAAGTGCCTAGTACAATGCCTGATATATAGTACTAAATAAGTGGTTATTACTGTTTGGTGCCAAGTTCCAAATTAGGAGTTTGACATATGTTATCATATTTAAAACTCATAATATCTCTTCAAAGTAGGTTTTATTATCTGCAGTTTTACATGTGAAGAAATTAAAATTTAAATAACAGAACCTAGATTCAAATTTGTTATGCCAAC